CAGTATAAGACTTCAACTCTTTCCAGGTGTTGAATACAATTGTTAGATATTCTGCACATTTTCCTCACGTATTGTCTATTGCAAGAATATAGCCTCTATAAGTATGGAAAATTTAAAGGCATAACTATATTCTTATTGTCCCAAATGTTAAATATTTGCTAAAAGCAAACTACTGTTTTGAAGATCGTTCATTCCGCTCATCCTCACAGGTAAGTCTGGTCGTAAAGTCAGGCCTCAGCATTCAGCTGGTTTTCAAGGTTAAGTCAAACACTCACAGGTGGGTGCTCCATTCCCTCTGATTCCAAACAAACTTTTACCAACCCCTTTCAATTTCTGCTTGTTTTAGAGTCAAGAGATCGGGTTTTAATGTCTCCGTGTCTCAGCCCACAGCTAAGGAGAGCAGCATGATTTGCAGTGAGCACACAGCATGCAAAGTGAGAACAAGGAACCTCTGCCTCAGACTGGGAAGGACTCAGGACAGATCTAAACTACACAGGAAACCGCAACACTCAGATGCCCACGGCCCAGCCCTGCAGGCAAGGATTTGTTAGAGCTAGGATTTTTGTTGTTTTGTTTTGTTTAATCTTAAAAAGGAAATACATGACATCATGGTTAGGGTTTGCTTTTGTGCCTTCTCATGATCCTGCCCTATGATGGCTCTAAATTACAAAAGAGTTTGAGGATGCATACAGTTTTAGTCATAAACCATATAGACACATTTTTGGACCCTAGGAAACCCTTTAGTTACATGAATTTTCATTAGGTTACATTTATTTATTGCCACATTACCCACTCAAATTATTTTGAAATTTCAGGATTAAGATTCTCCCTTGTGTGATTTTACCTCATGGAGTTTATTTATCATATAAATAAGTACCATTTAAACAGGGAAAATCAGTTAAAGATGCTCATTCATTGCACAGAAGCTTATTAAAAATTTATATATGCCAAGTATAATGCTTGGATCTTCAAGAAGTCAAGCATGATAAGAAATCACGCTAATTGCCTTTAAAAAAAAAATTAACTTTCTTAAAGCCAATTAGCCAAATGATCTAGAGGATGTATTTGAGTGACCAATTTGTCAAGGTGGAAATATTTGTCTGTTTTTAACAGGATTTTTTAGTTGGGATACATATTATTATATATAAAATATAAAATGAATCACTAATATTGATATCACAGATGCATCATGCACATATATGGCAATATACATGCAAACATATTTCTGCACATACACACATAATTACATGTACACACACAAACTTAAGCTGTTAAAAAGTCTAGTGTTGATGAAAGAGAGGCTCAGTAGCGAAGACAACTGTAATGGATCAGGTAATTAGTCTTCGTTAAGTAGAAATGTAAAATAAGGGCACAATAGGTCCAGAAAGATGTCTCAGAGAGTACAGGCACTTATCACCAAGTCTAAGGCTCTGAGTTTGACCTCTGAATCTCACAAGGTAGAAAGGAGCTGACCACTGAAAGTTGCCTTCCGTATGCCAAATACTCGCTGCGGCACAGGTACCCGTACCCACACATGAACATTCATGCAAACAAATAAATGTAAATTTTAAGATGTTAAAAATAGAACGCAGTTGAAGTAATCAATATTGTATATTAAGTAGTGAATACTATATGCAACTTTTTAGACCATATTGTCTAAAAAGTTTTAAAAGAATGGTAAAAGCTGGCCTTGGTGATGGAGGCCTGTAATCCTAGCTCTTCAGGAGGCTAAGGCAAGAGCATGGCACATTTAGCCTATCTGGACTACAAAGTGAGTTCTAGGTCAGTCTGGGCCACTTAGCAAGGCTTTCTCAGATTTAAAATCAAGCGAGCAAACAGAAATCAGTGCTGAGTATATAGCTGAATGGCAGAGCACTTAGCTACCACAAGCTGAACCCTGGATTCGTTCTTAGCACGGCCTTCCTCACCTCGCCCTCACTACAGGAGCTGGGGGAGAAAGAAAAGAAAAGAAATCTTAAAGCCATTAAACGTTAAGGACAAATACATTTAGTAAAAATAAATCTTGTATCACTCTGCTGACGCCCGGAATGCAGCACAGTTTTCCTTTCTGTTGTTAACTGTGAACATCATTTCTGCAGGAGAGCTTGTCTACCCCAGTGACCCCTTATTAAAAGTCATAGCTTCTGGATAAAAGGAGGACCAATGCTTTCAACTGTTTTGCCAATCTTTTTATAATTTCTTCCAGCATCATTTTCATAATTTTAATACTGAAAGCATTTTAATATTCTTCTAGCATCGCTTAGCTTCATCCTCAAATCTATTTTATTTTGTAAATTCAGAAGCATCTGAAAGGCTGGGGATGGACCTCAGAGGTAAAGTATTTGCATAGCATGAAAGGGTTTCCAGATTTAATTCCACAAAGTATAACACGAAAGTATCTGTAAAAAATTATAGTTTAGGTAAACCTCTCAAAGTTTAATTCCGGTTAACTTTAAAACCGAATCATCTAAAGGAATCAAACAATTCCACGAATAAAAAAAATCTCATACTAAGTTTCACTTTGCTTGCTGTTGGTTTCCTGCTTACTCCCTGCATCTATAAAAAAGTGCCCTGTGGCCTGAGCTGAGCCACAGCAATGCTGACATTCAGAAAGAATGCCAGAGAGAGATGGCCAGAAAGGGAAGTCTGTTCAGAGAATGGGATTTCCTAGGTCAGAATGTATATGCACGGAGGACCCCTGGTATGTCTACACACACCCTAACTGCTCACAGTAGCTACAGCAGTAACCTGAAGGTCAGTTTGCAGAGATCTCTTAGAGCTATGGAATGACCTGAATAATGATGTCATTGTTGAAGGCTCAGCTTGATACCAAGAGTGCCTCAGATGCTAAACAACAAGAAATTTATCTTACTAATTTTGGAGTTGCCATTGATAAATAATAAGACAAACACGAGTTAAATTTGAATTTCAGATGATATGAAAAATTTTAATATAGGCTATATCTTAAACAGTGCATTTCATCAGATATAAATACGCAGAGGAGGAGAAAAGAGCGGTTGCTATTATCTTGAATTCAAATTATACCTACATATTTCTTTTTCTTTTCTTTTTTTTTTTTTTTTTTTTTGGTTTTTAAAGACAGGGTTTTTTTTTGCTTTGGAGCCTGTCCTGGAACTAGCTCTTGTAGACCAGGCTGGCTTCAAACTCACAGAGATCCACCTGCCTCTGCCTCCTGAGTGTGCCACC